TCGCGCGGACACCGCTGCAGCTGCATCTGGCCACCGGCAGAAACTCCCGACTGACCAGCTCCAGGGCGACTGCCACTATGGCCGCCGCCACAACCCCAACTAGCGTACCACTCACGAAGCTGCTGGGGCATGAGGGACTCGCGCGGACGTCGCTGGAGCTGCATCTGGCCACCGCCAGAAACTCCCCACCGAACAGCTCCACCGAGACTGCCACTACGGCTGCCGCCACCACTCCCACTGCTGCCTCTACCGCCGCCACGACTCCCACCGCTACCACGAAGAGACGTCATAGCGGGCAAAGTAAGGAGGTGTGCGACCGGTACGGCAGCACGCAGGGAAGGTAGGGCGGCGAGCAGGCACCAGGGTAGGTCGGGGCGGCGCACGGTCAGTGTAGGGCGGCGCGCTGCAAGTAGGGCGGCGCGCGGGCATAGGAGGGCGCGCGGGCAGGCAAGGGGAGCGTGCGGGCTGCAGATGGCGGCGCGCGGGCTGCCAGGGTGGACGCGACGGGCAGGGGCAGGGCGGAGCGCGGGCAGCAGGGCGGCGCGCTGGCCCTAGGGTGACGCGAAGGGCAGGGCAGGGGCGGCGCGCGGGCCCTAGGGCGACGCGACGGGCAGGGCAGGGGCGGCGCGCGGGCCCTAGGGCGACGCGACGGGCAGGGCAGGGGCGGCGCGCGGGCCCTAGGGCGATGCGACGGGCAGGGCAGGGGCGGCGCGCGGGCCCTAGGGCGACGCGACGGGCAGGGCAGGGCGACGCGCTGGCCCTAGGGTGACGCGACGGGCAGGGCAGGGGCGGCGCGCGGGCCCTAGGGCGACGCGACGGGCAGGGCAGGTCGTCGCGCGGGTCCTAGGGCGATGCGACGGGCAGGGCAGGGCGTCGCGCGGGTCCTAGGGCGATGCGACGGGCAGGGTAGGGCGTCGCGCGGGTCCTAGGGCGACGCGACGGGCAGGGCAGGGCTCCGCGCTGGTCCTAGGGCGACGCGACGGGCAGGGCAGGGCGTCGCGCGGGTCCTAGGGCGACGCAGGGCAGGGCGTGCGCGGGGCAGCGCAACGCAGGGCAGGGCAGAGCGCGCTAGGCAGCGCAACGCAGGGCAGGGCAAGGCAGCGCGGCAGCCAGCAGGGCGGCGCGCGGGCAGGGTAACGCGACTGGTGGGGCAGCGCGACGAACACGGTAGGGCGCTACGGGTAGGGTAACGCGCTACGGGCAGGGAACGATTCGGTGGGCCCTAAAAAAAATGGTCCTAGGTCAGGACCTGCTCTGAAACCATGTCAGAATAATGAACGAGAAATGGATGAACTAGCAGCATGCAGGAGTACAAGTAGCAAACCCTAATTGGGTTGTACCCCATATGGGCTACCCCACTACAGCCTACACAACATGCAGCATATAAGTTTGACACGTTGAGCAAAACAACATGCGTTTCGGTTGTTTGTAAGGCCAGGCTCACCTCAACCATGCATGTGTCGTATGATTTACGCTTGCCGAGAATTGGTGCAATCGACTCAAGCCGCAAACGCATGACCTCGCTGTCCATGATTTGTGACGTAGCCGTACGCCTCTTCGAGGCGCGGTAGGGGTTCTTGATGTACTCTATGTGAAGATGCTCGAACATCTGGGTGGAGTAGTGCTCGGGCAATCTCGCTCTACGAATCGGGTCTATGTAATGGCTGATTAAGTGCATCTTAATGAACCTCCACTTGGAAGTCTGAGTTGGAAACGCCAACACTAGAGGGCTTATCATCCTGTCCAATCAATGACAACGTAGTGGTGACGGTATATATAGAGTGAATTTGTGTGGTTTAGGGCACACATGGACGAGCGTTGAGTAAGTTGTGGACAAGAGCACAGAGGGAGCAAGAGCGGAGGACCAAGGTTTGAGGCGTGGACTTACCTCTCAACCTTGTGCTCCAGATCACACAATGTCGTTGTAGCGTGCTCGCTCGTGCGTGCACAGAAGGTGTACCAGTCGATGTACGCTGCAACCGCGTCCATTTGTGCCTGCGGGTCTGTGGGCTCAAAACCTCTCACGAGAAATGGCAGGACTTGCATAAAACTCCTATGCTCAAATGCCTAGTAGCTCCCACCCTGCAAGAAATACTCGCCACCAGGCAGGCGCATGAATGGATTGCGGTTGTGCAGCCGCAAGTATGCTAGCCTATCGTCTGCCTGCCTTTTCTGGGCGGTCGATAGAGTCACAAGCAAAATGTCAATGATGTGCACGAGAATCCCCAAATCAGCCTGGTGCATGATATCAGGCATACAAATTCACGGGGTGTGTAGAAATGCTCGACATTCCCACAGGGTAGCTCTTGTCCAGCAACAAGGGGTTATTCCCTTTTGCACGAGTGGCGTGCGAGGGATGATGCGATTGAGGAGTTTGTTGGTCTGCACAACAGGGACTGTGCACAATGAACACGGATGACTTGTAAGGGCCCCCGATTTTGTGCATGTCACCTTGCATGACACTGGATAATCGCATGCGTACGCATACAAACCAGGGTAAGCTATGTATGTGGCACCAGTGGGGTCCTGTACCCTCACCTCTGTGTGCGAGGCTTTCCTCAATGGTTCCATGACCAATGAGAGAATCTGTTGGAAAACAATCAACTTATCGATAGAGTCGTATTAAGAGGGGAATTTCGGTAACAGCGCGAGCAACACGTGACCCCATGGTTGCCAACGGTCATGACTGTCATGATAGGATGATCCTTGGCTTTGTCACGTTGGTCCATATGAGTCTCATAGCTCGACAAGATCAATGCAACACCAACACCTTCCGGGTCAATTTTTTGGACCTCACTGCGGAGAGTGAACCACCAATCCCTGTCAGAATGAGTGAGGATGAGGAGCCATAGCTAGGGTTTACCTAGCTAAGCAAGAGAGAATTAGGCAAAGGAGAATGTTCACTAGCAAGCAGGAGGATACATATAGGAAACCCTAAGGGGTCGTACTCACTACAGAGTACCCCACTGCAGGCTAGACAAACTACATTCTGACACACCCCCATAGTCAAAGTGGGGTATAATCAGCAGAGCAAGCAGTCATAGAGCAGGTTCACAAGTGTAAGCAAAGCTAGAGGCATTCACAACGGGCACGTGAGGAGGAGGAGGCTGGACTGTGAGAGGAGAGGAGATAGGAGGCGACGGCTGAAGCTGCAGACACACGGGCAACAGGAGCGGCTGGCACAGTGGCTACCGGGACAGCGCCCCGGACTACTGGAGTAACTGGCTCTGCGGCTAACTCTGAGCGGCAGGAGCAACGGACCCACGGGCGACAGGCGTAGCAGGCTCTCTGGGCTACCAGGACAGCGCCCCGGACTACAGGTGCTGCGGACGACAAGACGGCAGCCTCCGCTCAACCTCCCCCAGCTGTCCCACCCCCCTTTTCACACACCCCTTGCTGCACCCCTAGCTCCACTCCCACGTCACCCCCTTAGCACCACTCCCTCGGCTCCCACACACCCACCCCCCTCAGCGGCAGCTGCAGCAGTGGGAGACGGAGGAGGAGGAGGAGCAGGGGACTGTGTAACACACCGGTGACCCCCATGCTGGCCACCCCCACACCCTCCACCCCCAAACCCTAAAACGGGCAAATTGGGGCAGGAGCGCGGGCAGCAGCACGCGCGCGGCCCCCAGGGCGCCACGACGGGGCAACGGGGGGTCGCGCGCGGCTCCCCAGGGCGCCGCGACGGGGCAGCGGGGGGTCGCGCGCGGCTCCCCAGGGCGGCGCGACGGGGCAGCGGGGGCCGCGCGCGGCTCCCCAGGGCGCCGCGACGGGACGACGCGAACGGTGGGGGGGACGCGCGGCCCCCGGGGCGCCTCGACGGGCGACGGGATGGGGGGGACACGCGGCCCCCGTGACGCCGCGACGAGACGACGTGAAGGGGGGACGCGCGGCCCCCGGGGCGCCTCGACAAGCGACGGGATGGGGGGGACGCGCGGCCCCCGTGACGCCACGACGGGCGACGGGAGAGGGCGCCGCGGGGGCCCCCCGATGCACCGCGACGGGCGACGGGAGAGGGCGCCACGACGGGCGACGAAACCGCCGTGCGCGCCCGGGGCGCACGGCGGGCAGAAAACCGCCGCGCGCCACGAGCGCGCGGCGGGATGAAAAAGTGTCGCGCGCCCGGGGCGCGCGACCAGCATAACAGTAGCAGCGGAAGCAGTAGGCGGGCCCACAGGCCAGGAGCGTGACAGCTCTGATTCCATGTCAGAATGAGTGAGGAATGAGGAGCCATAGCTAGGGTTTACCTAGCTAGGCAAGAGAGAATCAGGCAAAGGAGGATGTTCACTAGCAAGCAGGAGGATACATACAGGAAACCCTAAGGGGTCGTACTCACTACAGAGTACCCCACTGCAGGCTAGACAAACTACATTCTGACAATCCCCCGATTCAGGGCCTGAGTATACATGGGTCTGACCTGGGGTGCGAGGTGTTGGCTTTAGAACAAGTTGATCAGCGTTTTTGGGGAGCGTCAAAAGATCAATCATCCCAATGACACCGTCGCAGAAAAAACATTCCAATGCTTTTTTTGACAGTACACGCACGACTCCACTTTTCCAATTCCGATGGGGATCAGGTACTCGCTCTTCGACGTATTTTTCAACGTCCCACGCATTACGGAAAACAATCACGTCATCATTGAACTTTGAGCCAAGGTTCAAGACGAGTAACAACTAATCAATTGCACCTTTGAACAGCTTGGACGTCAAGAAGAAGCGAATGCATCTGCAAATTTGAACGCACGCTCTCACCTTCGTCTTCCGCCACACCATCACTTGCACCCTCATGTTGCGCCCTGTCTTCTGTTTGTGGTGCGGGCTGAGAGTTAATTGGGGGTTGTTCAGGCTCGTGCATTGGGAGTGAGGGGGTGCTTATGGTCAATGGCGGGTTTGGCATAGTGACTTGTGTTGTGCGTGGTAGAAGCATGGAGCGTGACGAATCTGGGCTCAAAATGCGGTTGGCAGCGGTGGCTCGGCAAGTGTCACCGTTTTGATGGGTTTTTAGGGGCCACCGGCCAGAGAAGCCTTCTGCCCTGCATAATGTGCAATTGTAAGCCATCCTGTAGCAGTAGAGGATGACGGGATCATGGTGGGATGAGGGTGAATGAGAGGGAACGGGCAAGGGATCGGGCTGGCCTGGTCCAGGGCCACAACACTCACCCCGAGGTGGGAGAGAAAGCACAACAGGGGGGAAATGGGATCCTGGACAGAGGGGGGTTGGGGGGGGGAAGAAAACAGAAAAGTGAAGGGAAAAAGAGAGACAGAGGGAAGAGAGCCAGAAAATCGGTAGGTTGAGAGATCGAGAGAGAGGGATGGGTACCTAGCCTCTGCCCTTAGGCCTCTGCCCTCTGCCCTTTGCCCTCTTCCCCTAGCTATATAAGGGGCCTCGTGGGGCTTCTCCTCCTCATTATTTCAGTTGGTGCCAGAAAATCGGTAGGTTGAGAGAGCGAGAGAGAGGGATGGGTACCTAGCCTCTGCCCTTTGCCCTCTGCCCTCTGCCCTTTGCCCTCTTCCCTAGCTATATAAGGGGTCGCGGGGCTTCTCCTCTTCATTATTTCAGTTGGTGCCAGAAAATCGGCGCTCGTGCCGGCGGGTTGCGGCCGCGCGCTCCTGGTGACAAGGACGCAGGAACAACTTATCAACTAGCACGGCAAGCATGACAACAATGGCATCAGCAAACAAGGCATAGACAACATGATGCTGAGCGTCTACAGGAGGCGCATGGCGGAAACCACATCAGATTGGCATCCAGGGCCACCAGGATACCTCGCATGGTCCTCCACAGCTGACGGACCACTAACGCGGTCGCGCCGACAGCTTCAAGCCCGCCTCTAGCGCGGAGGTGCCGGGTCAAACCCTGGACCGTGTCATCCAGCTGCGAGACAGCAACGCCTCCCTGCGCGGGCGCTGCCAGCATGGGTAACAGGAGGAAGGCGAGTTGCGCCGCCGCCGTCAAGCAATCTGCTCTCGGACCGGGATTGAGAGTGCTCCCTGGGGTCTGGCGAATGGCTGCTTCCGCATTCACCAGAATCAGTAGCAGGGCCTGCTGGTACTCCACCAAGCGCCACAGCTGCCCAAGAGTCGCCGTGGGCACTTGAACCTATGCCCCAAAAGCGCCCACTGCAGGATAAGGAAGAGGAGGAGGAGGGGCCGCGGACAGACAAGGCACAGCAAGGCGAGGAGGGGCGAACTGCGCCCTCACCTCTCCTCCTCCCGCTCCCACAAATTTCATGCTTGCAACAGGAGGGACCCAGAGTAGCTGCGGATACGGCGTTGCAGCCACGGGCCAAGCAACGAGCGCGGGGGCGCGCTCAAAGACAGGAGCAGGATAATGCTCAACAATCGGCGCAGGGACCTGCGGAGCGGGAGGCTGAGGCTGCAAGCCGCTGTGGCTCGACGATCCAACCTGCGCAGAGCGCATTGCGGCAGCAAACATCCCATGAAGGTCGGCACGCAAGCGCTGCACCTCAGTCGCGCCACCACGCCCGTGACCGTGACCTCCCCCCCCCCCTCCAGCCACCACGACCACCGCGATGCGCAGAACGATACGAGGGGGATGGACGTCGATGCATCACGCCCCCGATGAGACGTCGCATGGCACCCCGCGGCGGGGCGATTCTCGGACTCCGCGCGATGCCCCTGCAGCCCGGAGGAAGGCGCCGCATGCTGGCGGCGCAGGCACAGGGGACAACTGGCGGACCGAGGCGGGGCCGGCGCCCACCATCATCACCGGCGCCGAGCCCGCGACGACAGCCTGGACGAGCGGCTGCGGCACAAGCGCCGGTTGGGAGACAGGAGGCGGTGCGCCTGACGGACCGCCAACGAGAAGAGGAGCGGAGAGAGGTTGCTGGTGGGCCGAGTCCCTGTCCGGAGGCGGTGCCACCCCACCAACATTGGCGGAGACTACGGGCGCAGGGGGATGTGTCGGAGCAGACTGAACAGCAAGCGGAGCAGGGCAAGCACGCTCTCCGCGGATTCACCCCCACGCCTGCCGGAGCAGCAGGGAGCTCCACTCCCGATTGCGCAGCCTCAGCAGCCATCAGACACGAATACGGGGGAGGTACGCGCCCCGCTAACGCGACAGAGGGCGTTAGAAAACGCACAGACACCCCGGCAGTCGGCGCGCGCAACTCGCGAAGAACGAGAGACTAGGAGGCGTAGCGCTGGGGCGGCAAGCGGAGGGCCGATGAATGGCTTCCAAAGGGCTGCAGGACGAGCTTTCATTAAGCTAGAAAGGGAAGGTGCTAATGACGATGAGGATGCTCGAGATACAGCTTATGTACAAGGAGCAGTGGTGGAATCCTCTACCGAATGAAGTGCTGAAGCGGGGGAGGAAATTCGAGCTGCACGGCATCGAAGGAGTTTGCCAACACCAAGTCGAGCCGCATCTCAAAACATTGCCAACTGGGGGGGAAATTCCCAACATGCACCTGGACAAAATGCAAACCCTGAACCTCCCCGCCAATTCTCGTCAGAGCAGCTGGCAAGGGACCAATCCCGATTCAGCGAAGTGGGGAACTGAGATCTGACCCTACTTCCCGACAGTCGCCAGCCCCCACTGTCACGAAAACTCCCGCGTGATACCCGTCCCCAATTCGCCATGGCACGTTGCTGCACCTCGCGCGAAACCCTGAGTCAGTCGCAGGTTGGCGCCTGCTGCTATTTGTCCCGCGACGGTTACTGCGCCAGAGCAACCCCAAGAAGCCTGATTGGCCAGCTGTGACAGCACGGCTCCGCAAATTCTTTGAAGGCGAGTGGGGAGACCTATACAAAGCGGCACTAGCAGCTGTCAATTCCCCAACTCCCCCCCGCCACCAACCTGACGACATGGGAAGGCGCTCCCGAGCAGAGGGCTTGGCGCGGAGAGGGGGTCTGCGCGGAGCAGTCATGGCGTTAGAGGCAACACTAGTGGCTAGAGCATCGCCTGAGGTGCTTGACGCCTTGAGATCCAAACACCCACCCTCCTCAGACGGTCCCATAGACTGGACTCCCAACCCCACAGTCACACCCACCTCCATCGACAAGGCCGCCTTCACGAAGCTGCTGTGCAGAACCAAGAATGGAGTAGGTGCTGGCCCGTCAGGGATGACCTTCGAGCATCTGGGAGATGCAGGTTTCACAAACGCAGCAGTTAACACCCACCTCCATGCCCTCGTCAACACAATCGTGCGTGGGTCTCTCCCAGCTGAAATCAACGACCTACTCACCTCGTCAAGGCTTCTCGCCCTGGAAAAACCAGTGGGAGGCACCAGACATATAGCCATCGGCGAGTGCTTCCTCCGCCTCGCCGCCAAATCCGCGATATTCGCCACAGCCGACGCCGCCCGCTCCTTCTTCCTCCCGCTCCAGTTCGGGGTAGCCGTCCAAGGAGGCAGCAAGGCTATTATCCACTCAGCAAGAGCATACATGAGTGCAAACCCGGGCGCCCTCATATGGCAGGCAGATTTGGCCAACGCTTTCAGTAGCATCAGTCGCGGCGCCATTTTCAAGGCCATACGGGGGACGGCCCTTGAGCACTTGTTACCACTAGTCCGCCTCTCATACAGAGCCCCATCCCAACTATACCTAGGCATAGAGTTCCAGAGCGAACCCCTACTCAGCCAAGCGGGCGTTCGCCAAGGCGACCCCCTCGGCCCCCTGCTTTTCGCAGCAGGCATGCATCCTGCCCTTAGAAACACAGCAGCTGCCTTCCCAACCGTTCTCTGCCTGGCATATGCGGATGGTGTCACGTTCTTGGGAGCGCCAGCCGACTGTGCAGCCGCATTCAACCACTTTACTTCGCAGCTGGCGGACGTGGGCCTGATTCACAACCCAAAAAGTGCTCGGCCTGGAGCCAGAGCTTGGACGACGAGACAGTCTTACCTGACGGTGTCCCATACAAGGCGGAGGGACTGCGCGTCTTGGGCAGCCACATAGGCCCGGCAGACGGGGCATCCACGTTCCTGCGGGACCAGCTGGCCAAAATGGCCGCCCCACTTCCCCTCATTGCGGAAATGGACCCGCAACTGGCCAACCTGCTGCTGACAAGATGCATCCCACACCCCTCCACCTCCTGCCTGAAGCTGAATGGTCCCGCTGTGGCCAGGCGTAACTCCTTACGCTTCTGGACGCCTGCGGTGTCCACCACCCGAGGGGGGTGGCAGAGGAGCAGCGGGTGTGGGGACAGGCGTCTCTACCACGTATTTATTTTTCTCTATTTATAGAAAGATAATGATACAATATTTGGATATAGTTAGTAAAAATTTACCGTCCCTTGGGGGCCTTGGCCTCACAGACCCCTCGGTTGAAGGCAGATACAGTTTTCTCGCCAGCTACGTGCAGGCACAGACCTTGCTCAGCACCCTACCAGGGCCCGCGGGCCTTCACCTGACGGGCACCTTGGCCCAACCAGCTGCCGACAACACAGACCAGAACCAGCTGCAGCGATGGCTCTTCAAATGTGAAGCCGCATTGGGTTAGGAGGCCATGGAGCTGCTGACGGCAGAACGGACTGCCCCAACAAACCGACTACAACACAACCTCGCCCTCCTCATCCAGGGAAACCGCTTCGCTGCGCAGGTGGTAGCCTCAAGACATATGGAATTGAACCCGCTGAAAGGCCACACGCAACGGCTACTGTCTCTCACAGGATATGGGGCAGGGGACTGGCTACTCGCCATCCCGTACATGCCCTCCCTCCGCCTCAGCCCGGAGCTTTTTGCATTCGCACTCCAATTTCGGCTCGGACTGCCCCTCCCCGTACCAGACTGCTGCGACTGCCGTGACAGGATCCCCATCCTGGATAAACGGCTACCCAACCACCTTCTTCGCTGCGGCACGGGACACGGACGGGCAAACACACACAACGAAGTGAGAGACGAGTGCATACGCATGGCACAAGATGTGGGCTTCACAGTGCATAGGAGTCAACAGCGTTCTGCCCGGTGGATAAGCAAAAGGCAGATCTCGCAATCCGGGACCGTACCTCAGGCGGAGTATGGTTTTGTGACGTCGCTGTCACCGACCCAATCAGCAGCCGCGATGAAAACGCCACAAAGGGACGAGGATGGATGGCGCGGGAGATGGCAAACAAGAAAATCGATCACTACCGGACACGCTCCTCATGGGTTGGGTTCTTCCCGCTGGCGGTTGAAATCTACGGGTGTCCATGCGAGGAGGTCCCCGCCTTCCTCAAGCTGCTAGCTGACACGGTAGCCCGCAACCTCTTCAACGCCGACCCGGCATCCTACCAAGCTGCCAAAATGTTGCACCAGTTCCGGCAGCGATGGTCCGTCTCCCTGCAACGAGGACAAGCGCTCAGCTACCTCAAGAAGCTGAAGCAGCCTAGGTAGAGAACCCGCCAGTTGGTGGGCCGGAGGGGGTGCTGAACCCATGGGATTGTTTTGCAACCCTGGAAGGCTAGATAGGGAAGGGATTAGTTTGTCTCATATAGGCTCCTCTTGCCCTTGACTGTACCTCAAGTTCTACATTAATGAAAGGACCATTCGAGGGAAGCAAAAGTAGCGCCGAGAAGCAACGACTACGAGTGAACCCATGGCAAAGTGGGAATCCAGGGAGACGACGGAAGGCAGTGACGGGGAAGCCAAGGAGACGGTCGGGACTGAATGAGAACCGTCGAATGTGGATGACGGAGGGGTAAGTCAGCAGGTGCTGCAAAGGCGACGGGGAACGGCCAGGCGACTGGAGATGCAAAGGCGACGGCAGAATATGCGACTGAATGAAGGGTGTGCGACTGAGAAAAGCGTGTGCGATGGAGAGATGCATAGGCGACAGAGGGAAAAACAGGCGACGGATGGAAGTGTGTGCACGGGAGAATACCGTGTGCGACGGAGGGAAGCATAAGCGACGGTGGGAAGCGTAAGCATAATCGACGGAATCGACGGGGGGAAGCGAAGGCGACGGGAGGAAGCGAGGGCGAGGGTTGCAAGCGAAAGTGACGGGGGCAAGCGAGGGCGACGGTTCGCCGAGGGGGGGGGAATATGGTGACGGGTGAAGCAAAAGGGACGGCCTGAAATGATGGTGACGGGGGAAGCAAATGCGACGGCGAGAAAAGATGGTGACGGGGGAAGCAAATGCGACGGTGGGAAACGAGGGAGACGGAGTGAGGAGGGAGACGGAGTGAGGCGAACGAGGGCGGCGGACGGGAACGAGGGAGACGGAGTGAGGCGAACGAGGGCGGCGGACGGGAACGTGAGAGATGGAGGAAGCGAACGCGGCATAGGGAAGGCAGGGGGGAAACGAGGGCGGCGGGCGGAGACGAGGGCGGCGGGGGGAAGCGATTGCGGAGGAGGGAAAGGAAGGGAGCGGAGGGAAACGAGGGCGACGAAGGGAAACAAAGCAAAGGCGTCGGGGCAGGCAAAGGCGACGGGCTAAGCAAAGGCGTCAGAGAAAGGACAGGCGACGGTCAAGAATAGACGACGGGGGAAGGAGTGGGTGACGGGGGAAAGCGAGGACGATGGGAGAAGGAGTGGGTGACGGGGGAAAGCGAGGACGACGGGGGGAGGAGTGGTTGACGGGGGAAAGCGAGGGCAACTGCGTGAAGCAATGGCGACGGTGGAAGCCAGAGCGACGATGAAAGCGCGAGAGACGGCTGAAGGCGAGAGCGACGGGGAAAGCACGGACGACGGGGGAAAGCGAGGGTGACGGGGGAATGCGAGGGCGACGAGGGAAAGAGTTGGCGACGGGCGAAAGCGAGGCGACGCGGGAAAGCGAGGGGGACGGGGAAAAGTGATAGCGACGAGGGAAAGCGAGGCGACCGACGAAACCGTGGGCGACGGGGGAAAGCAAAGTCGACGGTGGTAAGCAAGGGGGGCGGTGGGAAGCAAGGGCGACGGGGGAAGTCAGGGCGTCGAGGAAAGCACTCAAACAAAGTGACGCGAACGTGACGAGAATAAGCATCGTGAAGGGACTGTAGAGGTATAATGGAGCTTAGTGGCTCACCTTGTGAGGAAAGAAAACCCTGGCAAGAATGCCGCTGGATCAGGAAGAAACTAGCGGAGTACCCGCCTGCAGGGCTGCTAGTGAAACCCCAAAACACCAGGTTCCGTTCGCAGGCGATGACAAGGCGGTATCTTGATCCGTGAGTAAGCAAAATTCAGACTTCGAAATTCTGACGAAGAGACAATTTTGGATTCTAGAATTCGGAATTCCAGAGTCACTACGCCGAGCAGAAGTGATGGGCCACAGTTGATTGGCTCACAAGAGAGGCACAAGGTGGAACGCGCCAAAATGCCCAAAATGTGAAACATCGCGACTGGCGACATGAAGCGCTGCGTCAAAATTCTGTTTGACTAAAATTTGCCTGGATACACGTGTGGCCAACACAACAGACCTGTATACTCAAAACAAATGGAAATATTGGATGTTACAAACCTGCATAGTACACTTACACTGTACCTGAGGATATATCAAGAACCTTTGCAATACAAACTTAGAAGCAGATATACTAAAATGTGTTATTGCCAAAATCAATTACGCGACTATGCTACTGTTATGATGTCGAAATGAATGTCAGAATGTAATATTTGTCTAGCCTGCAGTGGGGTACTCTATAGCGAGTATAGCCCAAATGAGGGTTTCCTATATGTACTCAACTGCCTGCTAGTGCAAACCCTCTTCTCTCTTTCATTCTTTCTTTCCTATTTCTGACAATGAAATATGTATGCGTAGCCTCCAGATCCATATAACGCCGAAACACAATCGGGCACTATACCGAAAAAGATTCAACATGTGGAAAATAAACATCCAATCTTAAAGAAACTAACACTAACGAGTTTACAACCCCTGTGATCTGGAAAAAAACAGCCACCGCACAAAACTACACCAAGGCCCCGGGGCCTTGGAAGGGAGAGGAGGGGATCACTATGCCCCCTGCACCTTCGTGAGGGGCTCAAAATCAGGGTTTAGGGACGGGCAACGTCCCAAAATTCTGTCAAGCCTGACGATCCCCTCCGAACCTCGGAGGGGCTCCATGTCCTGGCGAACACCCACCTTTTGTGGGTGGGGCGGGGGTTTGCGAATGCGCAGGGCAATTTCCTACCCTGCCAACTGAGAATCCCCTCCCCTCTCTTGTCTATCCCTCGTGCATACCGCCCTGGAAGGTGTTTTGCGATGGCATGGAGAAGGGATTGGCCCGTAGGGTAAACGCCCAACATCTCCAAGATAGGGTCAGATAAATCGAAATTATGCCTCCCTCCAGAAGCTCTCCTCCAATGATAGAAGCTGTATAGTTCTTGCCTTTTCTAAACACGTTTTTACCCTGGCTTCCTTTCTTATGTTTTTGTTTGGTTGTTGCACAGACCGGAAAAAAACAAATCCGCCACTAGGAAAGGCGGGAGGCGAAGTTGACAAGGGCAAAGTCATCTTGACTTACTGCCCCACTGGTGACATGGCAGCTGATAACCTCACCAAGAAACTACCACGTCAGCAGTACCATCACTGCGGAAACATCTGCGGCATAACCAAGCGCGTCAAGACTTCGCTCCTCCAGGAATGAAGGGGAGTGTTACGATATGGAATAGTTGAATAAACATTCCTGAGTAACGAATCCTTAACGCGAAGATGACTGCAGCGAGGACGAAGACCAAGCCACAAGACAGTTATTGAAGACAGTTTACAAGCAGGACGAATTCGAAGTGCAAAGCGCGGGAAAACTTCAAACGGTTACCAAACCGCACGGTTGCAATCCTGCATCTTGATTAGCCCTAAGGGGAATGTACCCCCTCAGAGTACATGGCTAGCTAGGACCTTTCGTATTCCACTGTATTCCTATATAAACCCGTGTACCGCATTGTATTAGTCACTTCTGTCAAGATTCAAATCTCCTTCTACTGACAGAGTACGTACCCGACATTACCAAGCAGACCTTCCGCTGCTACACTCCGTGCGATCAACCTGAGACGATCCTATAAGACGGTTCAGATTGTATCATGGTATGAGAGCCACTCAGGATTCTTCGCATCACCACCTCTGAGTCAAATTCAAATTCAAATTCAAGGTGGCGTCCGGTACGCGCTCCCGCCGAAACATGGCTGGAGGATCTGGCGGGCAACACTACCATCAGCAATGCGCTTCCGGAGCAACTCATCCAGCGCATCACCACGCTGGAATCAGGAATTCAACAATTGAAGAGTGGTAACCTGGGCACCTCACAACAACCCGATCAACCGGCTGCTCCAAGCAAGGAACCAAGCCCAACCACCTTCAACCTCGGGTCGAACTCTTCCGCTCCAACCGCTCCTCGTCCAAGTGACGAAGTCATGCTCGCTGCTCAGAACAAGTTTCTGACGATCTCCAAGATTCGAACTAGCACCGTGCTTAGCGGACGAGATTTCTACACCTGGAGTTTCCAGCTCGAGCGACTTCTCCAAAACGCGCAAATCTTATGTTACTTCCACGGAAGCTGTTAGAACTATAGCAGGCAGAATGAGAAATGAAGAAAGGAGAGGTTTCACTAGCAGCAGTTGGGATACATATAGCAAACCCTAACTGGGTTGTACTCGCTATAGAGCACCCCACTACAGGCTAGATAATAACATTCTGACACACCCCCATAGCCAAAGTGGGGTGTAATCAGCACAATGAGCAGGCATAGCAGTAGTTCACAATTATAAGCAAAGCTAGAGGCTAACACAGAGGGCAAGTGAGGAGGAGGAGAGACTGTGGGGGAGAGAAGACGGGAGGCGACGACTGAAGCTGCAGACACACGGGCAACAGGAGCGCTGAGTGCGACTCAGTGGCTACCGGCGACAAGTGTCCCGGATTACAGGAGTAACAGGCTCTGCGTCTATCAGAGCGGCAGGAGCAACGGACCCACGGGCGACAGGTGCAGCAGGCTCTCTGAGCTACCGGCGGCCACTAGAACCCCGGAATACAGGCGCTGCGGACGACACGACGGCTGCCTCCACTCAACCTCCTCCAACTGTCCCACACACCCCCCACACACCCACTGCTTCACCCCTAACTCCACTTGCACGTCACCCCCTCGTACAACTCCGACGGCTCCAACACATCCACCCCCCTCAGCGGCAGCTGCAGCAGTGGGAGACGGAGGAGGAGGAGGAGTAGGGGACGGCTCACAGAGATGGCACCCCCATACGCTCCACCCCCAAACCCTAATTCAGGAGCACGGGCAGCAGCAGGGATGGGGCGCCGTCAGAAGCGCGGGGGACAGCGGGCGGCTCAAGGGAAGAGGAAACAGGGCGCCCACGGGCCTGGCGCAGCCCGTACGAACCGCGCGCGGGCGGCCCGAGGCGCGCCCTGGTCTGGCGCGGCCCGTACGGGCCGCGTGCGGGCCTGGCGCTGCCCGTACGGGCCGCACGCGGGCCGGGCGCAGCCCGTACGGGCCGCGCGCGGGCCTGGCGCAGCCCGTACGGGCCGCGCGCGGGCCTGGCGCAGCCCTACGCAGGTCGTGCGGGCCACGACGGGCGACGGGGGGCGACGCGCGGGTCCCCGTCGCCCGTCGCAGCGCCTCCCGGGGGCGACGCGCGGAGTGACGGGAGAAAGCCGCCGCGCGCCTCGGGGCGCACGGCGGGCAGAAAACCGCCGCGCGCCTTGGGGCGCACGGCGGGCAGAAAACCGCCGCACGCTCCGAGCGCGCGGCGGGATGAAAAATCCGTCGCACGCCAGGGGGCGTGCAACACACAGAGTAGCAGTAGCAGCGGAAGCAGTGAGGTGGTGGGCCCACCCACAGGATCGACCCAGGAGGGTCGACCTGCTCTGATAGCATGTCAGAAAGTAGAGAAGAAAGTTTAGAACAAGAAAGAGGGTTTGCACTAGCAGCAGTTGGCATACATATAGGAAACCCTAATTGGGCTGTACTCGCTATAGAGTACCCCACTGCAGGCTAGACAATAATAACATTCTGACAGAAGCTACGCTGGCCCCACTGGTGATACTGACGACGCTAAGGATCAGTATTATAACGAGTCGCTCATGGCGTACAGCGTCCTCCTTCTCAACATGGCGCCAGCCGAACAACTCGGCATTCGCCCCTTCAAAACACATCCAGCTCCCGCCATGGCCGCCCGGAGCTACCTCACCAAACTTTACCAGCCCAAGGACTCCGTCTCCTCTAGCTGCTTGCTCCAGCAACTCATGGAAGTCAAGATGGCACCTGGCGAAAAGGCAAACTCCTACATCAATCGTTGCCGCAGCGTCCGCGACCAGCTCCTGAAGCTCGGGAACACAATCTCTGAAGACATGTTCGTTACCATCGTACTTCAAGGACTTGGACCCCATTGGAATCCCTGCAAGGCTCTGCTTCGCCAACAAGGCATAATTTCAGAAGCGCATCTCTGCGCGACGTTACTTCATGAGCAGCAGGACATGGATTTCAACCAAGAAAAAGGGACGCGCCGCGATCAAATTGCCTTTTACTCCAATCGCGACCAACGACGGAATCGCGATTCACGCCCACGCCAATACTACTGCAAATATTGCAAAACCTTCGCCCACGACACGATTCCGCGCCGCGCAACAACTCTGCCTTCGGTCCCGATCACATGCGCCAGGCCAACCGACCGTCCTCGGACCATCGGTTCACCCCGCGCCAACCTCCGCAGCCTGACTCACAAAGGCCGCCGACGCAAAACAACAATACCGTTCGTCATGTCATGGGCAACATGGCAATGCGCGTTCACCGCCGCACTCGGCGCACCAATCGGAGGCACCTCCGACACGTCTCCCCTCCTCCTCCAGGACAAGAAGTCCACTTCACCCGCTACAACAATCCATTTACGCAGGACGGGAAGTTTGTCTCTGACGAACACGAGCAAGACTGGGACCTGCCGATTCCCCTGCTCGAATCACCACCGCACGATGACGATTTTCTCAACTCGCCAAGCATCACCAGCTACTATTTTGGACACTACATAGACACCCGTCCCGTCGGTAACTACCACGCTGCTGGCGACAAACGCATTCCGTTCCGCAACACCCCCAGTCTCGCTCTCTCGGCGCAACAACGCGCCGACTCCCACAACACATGGTACCTCGACAGCTGCTGCGGGCAGCACATGGTCGGCTCCAAGCGTCATCGCCAATGCACGATCAATCCCGGAACCTACCATCGTCACTGTCACAAACAACCAGCAGCTCGCAGCACGCGCATGCGGCATCGTCGTTCTCAAAGCACACGACAACGACATCCACATCACGCTCAACGACGTACTGATCGTACGAGATCTCCGTTACAATCTCCTCTCCTACAAACAACTCGTCAATAGCGGCGTGCTCATGACCACAGACCCTGTCACTCGGTGCATCCTAATGCACTGGAAGGATTACAGTCGCCCCGCCGATCAACCGCGCTACATCGGGAAAGCACGCGCGGATAACGGCGTTTACATCCTGGATTTTGACATCCCCGACTGCCGCGCGGACTCTGGAGATCTCATTGACCTCCAGCCTCAACAAGTCACCGATCCCCACGGACTAACACACCTCGATGGGCCTGATGTACTCTGCCGAAACTGCCGCACACCAACAGCCTCCACAACCAACGACAGGACACGAGCACAGCCAGCTGACGAAGGCGAATCATCAGCTGCAGCAGCAAGGCGTCTGGCAACAACTGCAGGCGGGCAAACCAGAGACCAAGGCATACAGCCCGCCGGCATGGACATAGTGGAGGAAGCAGAATGGCAGACGGAACACCCCACTGGCATGCGCCATGACGCGGAACTCGCTGCGGCCCCTCACCATCTTCCAATCACGCGGGACTCGAACGGATCCTACCGTGCACGATCGCCTCCACCTCCTCACACGCTACACAGGACCTGGAGCAATTGATCGTGGCAACAATCCCCTGCCACTGGACTGGCAGACATATCATGTTGCTCACCCCTGGTCCCACCGCAACATGACCACTGAAGAGTTTCAGCGCCATGAAGAAGAAGAGAATCGCCGTCGTGCCGACGAAGAAGCCAAAGCAGCCGCAGCAGGAGCCAACAGGGGTTGGGGAAGCGGAACTGGGGCAACTGGTTGGGGAGGAACAGCACCAGACTGGGGTGCAGGAACCTGGGGAGCTGCCCAACAAGAGGAGGAAGAGGAGCCCATCGAGGATTTTATAGCAAGAACAGAGAAGGAAGCAGCTGAAGAAGCTGCAGGGCCCTATGGGTCCCCACGACCCATTGGCATTCCTCCCTCAGGAAACTCACCCTCAAGTGACTCCTGGGCCTCCTCCACACACTCAGCACCTCCTGTCGATCGCGATACCATATTACCATACCGCCGCTACCCCCACAGCCCACTACCAACTGAATCCACTCCAATAGGCCCCCATGACTCAACCACTGAGGGACCATCCACCATACAGGGACTCCCTCCTCACCACATGCCACGCCCAATCCTCCCTAAAGAAACTGCTGACACAGATGACCCTACAGAACCACCTGCTGCCATCACCACAGTAGAACAAGCCCCACAACTCACCGCTCGTGACCTTATTCTCGCTTTTGGACTCTCCATTTCACCACAGCCCATCCCACAGCCTCCCCCCACAAACATCACCGAGCTGCTCGCCTTCTACGCACGCTCACCTGCCATCCGCGCGCGTCCAAACCTCTGGCACAAACGCCTCGGTCACCCCTCGCATGAAGTTCTCAACAACTGCATCCGCGCTGAATTTTTTATGCCCGGAACCTTCCTCCTCCCTGATGGAACCCCTGTTCCCATCAACACTACTCGCCGCACTGACTGCGACGTCTGCCCTGAAGCTGCCTTGACACACAAGCCTTTCAAGCTCCTCCAGCCTAGCACCAACCGTTACGAAAAGCTCCAAAAAGTATACAGCGACTTCCTCGTTCTCACACAGGCAGGCACCAACGGCGAAGAATTCACCCTCACCTTCATCGACGCACGCTCTCGCTTCGTCTGGGTGGCCAACGTTTCTCACAGGAGCAAGGCGTACGACATCTTCAAGGTCTGGCACGCTAACGCTGAGACGCAGTCTGGCTGCACTCTCAAGCTATGGCAAACCGACTGCGCAGCAGAGTTCAAAAGCGACAAGCTGGCAACATACCTGCAGGAGAAGGGAATCGTCCACAAGCTCTCTCTCCCTCACGCTCATCCCCAGCAAGGCGTCGCAGAACGTACCAACCGCACTCTCATGACCAAGGTCTGCGCCCTCCTGCAGCAGAGTGACGTCGACACGAAGTACTGGCCCTACGCCATGCATCACGCTGTCCGCCTCCACAATCTGCTCAGCACACTCCTGCCAATCCCAACACCACCCCACTCAACCCATACGGCCACCAATTGTACCAGCAGCAACTCGGCTGCCTTCTCTTCGCTGCAGTGACATGCAGGCCTGACTTGTCCTACATTTCGAGCCAGCTCGCCCAGTATGCCAAGCGGCCTGAAGGGGAGCACATGTTGGATCTGCAGCGCGCCTTGCAATACTTCATCTCCTCACCGCACATTGGACTCACCTACTCCACTCTCACGACTTGCTCCTTCAGCCTCGTCGGTTACGTGGACGCAGATCATGCCGCCGACCCTGCAAATCGACGGTCCCGAACCGGCTTCCTCTTCCGCCTCGAACCTACTGGTCCAATTTCCTGGAGTTCTCAGAAGCAAGAAATGGTGGCACTCTCATCTGCTGAAGCCGAGTTCATCGCTGCCACATCAGCAGTTCGCGAAGGGCTCTACCTCCAGGAACTGCTCCAGGAGGCGAAAATTGCGACATCTGCGAGCTTCAAACTTCACTGCGAGAACCAGAGCGCGATCAAAATCGCGAACAAGCCTGGCTTCGTCAACCGCACCAAACACATCGCACTCCGCTACTTCTTCGTCAAAGACGAAGTTGACAAGGGCAAAGTCATCTTGACTTACTGCCCCACTGGTGACATGGCAGCTGATTTCCTCACCAAGAAACTACCACGTCAGCAGTACCATCACTGCGGAAATATCTGCGGCATAACCAAGCGCGTCAAGACTTCGCTCCTCCATGAATGAAGGGGAGTGTTACGATATGGAATAGTTGAATAAACATTCTTGAGTAACGAATCCTTAACGCGAAGATGACTGCAGCGAGGACGAAGACCAAGCCACAAGACAGTTATCGAAGACAGTTTACAGGCAGAAAGAATTCGAAGTGCAAAGCGCGGGAAAACTTCAAACGGTTACCGAACCGCGCACGGTTACCGGACCGCACGGTTGCAATCCTGCATCTAGATTAGCCCTAAGGGGAATGTACCCCCTCAGAGTACATGGCTAGCTAGGGCCTTTCGTATTCCACTGTATTCCTATATAAATCCGTGTACCGCATTGTATTAGTCACTCTGTCGAGATTCAAATCTCCTTCTACTTACAGAGTCAGTACCCGACATTACAAAGCAAACCTTCCGCTGCTGCATTCCGTGCGATCAACCTGAGACGATCCTATAAGACGGTTCAGATTGTATCAAGGTAAACGCCCAACATCTCCAAGATTGGGTCAGATAAATTGAAATTATGCCTCCCTCCAGAAGCTCTCCTCCAATGATAGAAGTTGTATAGTTCTTGCCTTTTCTAAACATGTTTTTACCCTGGCTTCCTTTCTTATGTTTTTGTTTGGTTGTTGCACAGACCGGAAAAAAACAAATCCGCCACTAGGAAAGGCGGGAGGGAGGTGCTCGATCCCCTCGTCCCCCTTCCAGATCCCCTCCGGCAATTTCCATTTTGGGGCGAGCCCCCGGACGTAACTGACACCTTCCTTGGCACCTTCGTGATCCCCTCATCCCAATCCCCGCCCCTCACGTCTAAGGGATCGTGGCGAACGGGGCCTAACAAAAACATGCGTGGTAACAAAATGGGAAGATGTAACCACCTCGCGACATCCGGGACTGCAGAACAAAACCGCCCTGAATGGGCAAACACCGGCAAAGTGCAGAGGGAGACACGTGGCACACAAATTGAACAATCTAATCCTGTATCTCATCCAAACCAGCTCGAGATCGCTGAAACCCTAAACTACCGAACCTCGTCCGTTACAGCCAGTCCAATGAATGGGCGAACCACGCAAAAAAAAACCGATTGGTCGCCAGATACGAGCATGACTAGCAGCACCGACACAACTAGCAGCAGCAGCAGCAGCATAGGCAGCAGCAGCAGCAGCATAGGCAGCAGCAGCAGTAGCAGAGGGACCATCAGTGATTGGTTGATCGCCCGCCTAGCAACGTTGCTGCCGCAGCTGACGTCACTGTCGCTCGTTGGCATAGCAGCAATCCCAAGGCTCGCCCCTTTGACGCCCTCCCTGCAGTGCTTAGAAATCCGTGGCGCAGGGGAGGGGATGACTTGCCTCCTCGGAAAATGGCTTGGGCGGCTGGCGTGTCTGCAGGAGTTGATTGTGCGGGACTGCTTGGCGCTGCGGCAACTTCCTGCGTCGCTTGCGCTAATGCCGTCGCTGCAGCGGATCAGCGTGGAAGGATGCTATCTGCTGAGGCTTGACGCTCGGACGCCCAGGGATGGCTATGGGTTGGCAGCTGTGCCTTTTGTGAGGGAGGGTGGGGCACGAGAGATGGGGGAAGGGCGAAGGAATGACATAAAGAATGATGATGAGGACTTGGCTGTTTCTGTGGTGTTCGGGGGTGCAAGGGATGGGGAGGATATGGAGGCAAGCTGTGGGCAGCAACTGCCACCTCAGTGGCAAAGGCGACAGCGGCGGCAACGGAAAAGGCTCCACCGCTGCCGAGAGAAGGCTCAGCAGCAGCAGCAGCAGCAGCAGCAGCAGCAGCAGCAGCAGCAGCAGCAGCACAAGCAGAGTAATCAGGGTGGTGTCACCACTGTCAACGCAGCAGCACAGCCACGCCAGCCCCTGTTCTTTTCCAAGCTGCAACATCTCGAGCTTTCTGACGTGTCAGCACTGCATCACCTGCCACGTGGCATCCTCCAGCACCAATCGCTCAAGCACCTCGTGCTGGACGGCTTCTCAGGCGCCTCCCTTTCTGCCACTTGCAGCGTTAACCAACTGAGTCAATGCTCCAACCCCCCGTTCGCATGCCCAACCTACAACATCTAATACTGCGCAACCTTCCAAAACTCTCCCAGCTGCCCGAATGCCTTTCCCTGCCCGCCCATGCCCGTCCCTCACCATCCTTTCCATCGAGAACTGCCTGCGCTTGTCTGCGCTCCTCACTCCTCGTCCCAGCCTGCACACCTTACAGCTTCACAATCTTCCCAACCTGACATCCACCTGCGTGTTACTGCGTACCCATTGCCCATCGCTCTCTGTACTCGCTATAGACCAATGCGCCAACCTCCATACTGTGTCGTGCTTCCCGTCGCGCAACCTGTCCCACGTGGAGATTCGCAACCTCCCAAACCTCACAGCACTCACAAGCCCGTCCTCGCTCCTCAACTCCTCCTCCTCATCTCGCCTCTCCATTCTTGCGATTGAGAACTGCCCTTTCCTTGCTATAAATGCTATAAACGCCTCTGCACGCACCCCCCTGCACGCACCCCCCTCGCCTTCAACTTTTGAAGCATGAGGCAGCAATGGCTGCACGACCTTCCTCTGTTGCACGACCTACCGCCCTCCTTCTCCTGCCTCTCCTCCCTGCAGCGTTTGGTCATCACCCACTGCCATGGGCTCAACTCGCTCCCTGACTGCCTGCCAGAGCTCCCCTTGCTGCGCGATCTCGCCCTGGTAAAAAACCACAATCTCACCATCCCCAGGGATTCCCTGCCGCGCCTGCACTCGGTGCGTCGCCTGGTGGTGCATCGGGGGCGTGAGAACAAGAGCATAATCGCACATTACGGGAGGGTGAGGCCACAGTTTGCGCTGCCCCCGTGGGTGAAAGAGCTTCACACTGATGACTTTGGGAGTGAGGTCTTCTGGTTGCATGAGCTGGAGAGACTGGAGGTGATTGGGGAGAACCTATCAAATGTGAGTGTTAACGAGATTGAGGTGATGGAGGAAGTGATGAAGGTTAGAGGAGAAGGCAGGTGGAGAGATGCAGAGGATGAGGAAAGCAATGACAGCATTGTTGTGAAATGTTGGGGTGATGAGAGGCAGCTGCTGTGGGTGGCCAGCGTCTTAAGGAGCAGCCAGAGCGTTTTATGAAGTCAGCGGCAGCGAGATAACTGGCATTAGCAGGAGCAGGAGCAGGAGCAGCACAAGGAAGCATGGAAACAAGCGACTTTTGCCTTGTTTGAAATGGCTGTCCCTTGGTGACTGCGTTGTTGGCCCTCGCTTCCCTCCCTGGATGCGCCACCTTACGTCCTTGCAGCACCTCTCTCTCACCCACATCAGCCAGTATGATGTGTTTTGCTGCTCTTTGGAGCAAGCCAAATACGGTACCCTCACCAAATGTGGCGCCTGCAAGCAGCTTATCTGCAGGATGAGGAGCATTGGGAGAACCTCACGTCATTGCAGCGGGTTGAGAGATGTGCGTGCTGCCCCATAGCTGTAACCTTGGAGTGGCAGTATCAAGAGTAGAATGCAACGGAATCATGAAACTAGCAAGTGTGGAAGTACAAATATGCAACTCTAACAACTGTACTCCCTATTGTGCTACTCACTGTAGCCTACAAGCATAGAATTACATTTGACACACCCCCATAGGCTAAGTGAGGGGCATCAAAGCAAGCAAGGTGAACAAACGGTCACAAGACCAGTCAAAGCAAGAAACAAGGCAAGCTCAGGGTGGATCTCAAGGACACCACACAAATTCCGAGCGCAAGCAAGCGGCCACAAGGTCAGTTCAAGAGTTCACTAGGATATAAATAGGAAGCACAACAAGCAGAGCAAACAACAAGACTACAGCAACCGAGGGCCTACCTCAACAAGCCCCAACTGCACACAGAACCTGTGGTGATCACCAAGCGCCAAGGCCTTGGTGAAGACGTCTGCAGTGTTGGCCTCTGAGGCCACAAAGTCCAGGCGTGCCTGGCCGCGTCGCTGCAGCTCTTGCAGGAGGAAGTACCTCACGTCAATATGCTTCACTCTGCTCTCCAGTCGAGGCTCTCGACACAGGAGGATCATGGCCTTGTTGTCAGCGTACAAGGTCGGTGCAGAGCGAGGCCGCTCACCAAGGTCGGCGAGCAAGAAGGTCAACCAGCGAAGCTCCTGTGCCGCCATGGCACCAGCGTAGATCTCTGCCTCTGCACTGGAAGTAGCCACAGACGACGACCGTGTAGACCTCCACGACACAGCACCAGCTCCCAGACTGAAGCAGTAACCCTGAGTCGAACGCTGAGTCTCCACGTCGTCAGCGTAGGAAGAGTCGCAGTGACCAGTCAACGCCACTGGCTGAGTCCCTCCAAGCACAAGCCCCATGCCTGATGTAGTCGCCAGGTACTTCGCCACCCTCACAGCAGCTGTCCAGTGGACAGGGCGGTGTCTCCCAGTCGCAACAAAGCGAGAAAGGATGCTGAGTGGAAAGGCGAGGTCCGGTCGAGTACAAGTCATCAGGTACATGAGGCAGCCCACCAGCTCTGCGTAGGGTCCACTTGACTCAAAGGGCTCGTCAGGAAAGGGGCCCGTGAGTCTGTGGTCAACAGCAAGAGGAGTGGGCTGTGTGGTGGAGAACTGGAAGTCGAACCGCCGAAGGACCTGCTGCACCATGTGTGACTGCGTCAGTGTGATGGTGCGAGCGGCTCTGTCCCGGGTGATCTGCAGGCCAAGGTAGCGCTGCAGCTCACCCAGGTCAGTGCACTTGTGTCTCTTCTGCAGTTCGGACTTCACCTGAGCCAGGGCTGCCCTGTCTGCTGTAGCAAATACCAAGTCGTTGACGTAGACAAGGATAAAGAAAGGAGTAGAACCCGCTCGAACAAACAGCGACGGGTCGGCGGAGGACGGGCTGAACCCAAGGTCACGAAGCGTGGAGCGAAGAGTGTCGTGCCACTCACGGGGCGACTGGCGGAGACCGTAGACTGGTCGCCTCAGGCTCCACTGGGTCCCAGGAGGGAAGGTGTCAGTGAAGCCAGGAGGACGGCGCAGCCAGATCTCCTCGTGCAGTCGGCCCTGGAGGAACGCAGTGGAGAAGTCGAGGGAGTGCAGCTCGTAGTCTCGCTGCGCTGCTATGTGGAGTAACACCCGAAGAGTAGTCATCTTCGGGTCGGGGCGAAGGTCTGGAAGAAGTCAACTCCCTCATGCTGACTGAAACCCCTAGCCACGTAGCGCGCCTTGAACACCGGCGGTGCTCCATGCGGCCGCTTCACCTTGAAGAGCCACATGCCATCGACTACGTTCGCCCTGGGAGGGGGAACTGCGTCGACGTAGGTGCCTGTGGATCTCCAAGACGCCAACTCTGAGTCCATAGCCACTTTCCACTGAGAGGCCCATGCCCCTGACACTGCCTCGCGGTAAGTGCGAGGAGTCGGTATGTCAAGGGCGTCGGGGTCTCCCTCAGGGGAGAGCAGCATGGCACACACAGAGGGAGAAGCGGCTGCCCAGTACTCCAGCTCAGACTCTCTGTCCTCTAGGACGTCACAGCCAAGGGCAAACCCACCCCCGACGGACAGAGGATGGTAGGGAGGAGCTGGCACCACACGGGTGGCGTAGTCAAGACGGCTGGCGGCAGCAAACTCAGCGACAGCGGCAGTAAGAGCGGAGGCAGACGACGGAGGGAAACGAGAGTCGGTGACAAGAGTGGCGAGGACACGTGCGGCAACAGGACGAACAGCGCGGTAGTAGTCAGAGATAGGAGTGGGGAGGGCTGGGAGAGAGGACGGAGGAGGAGACGGGAGAACGGACACAGGAGAAGGAGAACGACGACGAGACGAACAAAGGAGGGCAGTGTGGAGGTCAGTAACAGGGGACGAGTGACGAGCACGCGGAGGACAACGAGTGATCAAGTCGCGACGGACAGAGGGAGGAGGAGACTGAAGAGGAGGAGAAGACCAGACCGCCGGACGGTGGTCAGGAGGAGGCAACGGAGGAACAAACAGAGGAGGAGACTGGGAGCGGACAGGAGGAGAGGAGGAAAGGCCAAGGGCCCGCAGGCCACTCACAGGTGGGAACAACCGCCGCTCCAGAGGAAGCTGCGGTGGCGGCTGCGGCCGCTGCTGCTGCGGCTGCGGCTGCTGCTGCTGCGGCTGCGGCTGCGGCTGCTGCTGCTGCTGCTGCTGCTGCTGCTGCTGCTGCTGCTGCTGCTGCTGCTGCTGCTGCTGCTGCTGCTGCCGCTGCTGCTCCAGAAGGTCCAGCACCTGCAGCTCCTGCCGCTCCCTCTCCAACCGCTCCTGATCCTCACGCTCACGCCGACGGGCAGCCTGGAGACGCGTGTCGTGGCGGTGGGGAGGCGGAGTGGACTCCGCAGAACCAGGGTCTCCAGCGTCAGTCTCCTCAGACTCAGCACCCCCAGAACCAGCACCGCCAGTGCCAGGACCTCCAACTCCAGCACCCCCAGAACTAGCACCGCCAGTGCCAACACCCCCAACTCCAGCACCCCCAGAGTCAGCACCTCCAGTGCCGGCACCTCCTGCTCCAGCACCCCCAGAGCTAGCGCCACCTGCGCCAGCACCTCCAGCTCCAGCACCCCCAGAGCTAGCGTCACCTGCGCCAGCACCTCCAGCTCCAGTACCCCGCGACCGAGCACCCCCAGACCGAGCACCGCCAGCGGCTGCACCTCCAGCTCCAACACCAACCGAGTCCACAGTAACCTGTCGCAGAAGTGCCGAAGGCTGCTGAGGGGACTGTGAGGAGGACTGCGGGGAGGGAGACGCTACCTGACGCGCGACCGAGGGTAGAGGGGTAGCGTGGGACACACCAGACGGGGCAGGACCATGGGGGGGCGGGGGTACCGGAGGAGCGGGAGCAGGAGGAGGAGAGGGTGCGAGGAAGAGAGGGGGAGGGGGTACCGGGAGACCTCGACAGGGGTACCGGGTGTAGTAGGACACGGACTCGTCAAACCGGACGTCACGGGAGTCTAGGAACTGGTGGAGGGGAGGGTGGTAAAAGGACCAGTCAGCAGAGTCCACTGGGAAACCAAGGAAGACACAGGGGACGGCGCGTGCCGAGAGCTTGTCCGCGGAGGTGTCGCGAACAAGTGCAAGGCAGCCCCAGACTCGAAAGGCCGACCCAACACCAGGGGATCCAGTCCAAAGACTGGTCGGTGAAGCCTCGGGCCGCGAGACACGCGGCTGGAGGTTCAGCTGGTGTGCGGCGTAGCGAACCGCGTGGGGCCACAGAAAACGGGGCGCACAGGCATGAATCATGGACGTGCGGGCGATGTCCATGACCAAGCCTATGCGGCGCTCAGCAACCCCATTCTGCTGTGGGGACTCTGGCAGCGTCCAGGACTGGGTGATGCCCTGTTCGCCGCAGAATCCGCCGAGAATGCCTGAGCGAAACTCGCCCCCACGGTCGGAGTGAAGACAACTGACTCGACGACCACGAGTGCCCTCAGTGGCTAGAAGCCACCTGATCAGCGTAGCAGTCACCTCGGACTTCTTCGCAAGAGGGAACACTGTGGTGTGCCTGGAGAAGTCGTCGACGACCACCAGAAAGTAACGCTCCCTCCCAGACCCCTGCGTCGGGGCAGGGCCCCAGACGTCCAAGTGGAGAGTCTCGAAGGGAGCGGTGGTCGGACGAAGGGAGGAGGAGTGGGGAGTGGCGCGTAAGCGACCGGCGACGCACGGAGAGCAAGGAGGGGCAAGCGAGAGAGGGAGCGACGGGAAGGTGCGTGGGAGACCTGTGACTAGTCCCTGACTGAGCATGCCACGAAGGCGAGATATCAACGGGTGGCCAAGACGGTGGTGCCACAGGACGGTGCGGTGGGCGAGAGAGCGACAGGAGCAAGACGCAGCGACTGGACTGGACACAGCGACCGGACTGGACACGACTACCTGGCTAGACACAGCAACTGGACTGGGGACCTGGGCCGGAGGGGACGCAACAACCTGAGGGGAGGACGCGACCGGGGAGCGCTCGGTGTGGAGAACGTAGAGACCAGAGCGGGGCTCCCTGGTGAACGTGGCCAGAACAGCACCTGTGGTAGCGTTAGTACAGACTGCAGTCTGCCCCCCCCCCACAAAGGTAACCGTGATCCCCCTGTCCTGGAGGTATCCAACACCCACCAAGTTCCGAGTGAACGAGGGGATGTGGAGGCCGCGCAGGACACCAGAGGGGACCACAGGGCACGGGAGGGTGGTGGAGCTACGCACAACGGCTGGTCCAGAGGTAGGATCAGCCAGAGCCACCGACACAGGTGTGAGGAGTGGCGTAAGGGTCGTGTGGTCGCGGGAGAAGCACTGAGACGCGCCCGAGTCCAGCGTGAACGACAGAGAGGCCTCAGCCGGAGGGTCACCTGACCCAGTCGCTACACAAGCACCTAGAGCAGCAACACAAGCACCTAAGCTAGACAGGCACAAGGCTACACTAGCAGGAGGCAAGCAAGCTAAACTACGAACACGCGAGCACACAGATCCATCAGCACTAAAGTCAGCATCAACATACAAAGCATGCTGACGCGCATCGTCCATGGACAGATCAAAGACATCAATCTTACGGGCTAACAGACGAGACCAGCGAGGCGTGACCGCCAGAGGGCCCCAACGAGCCCGGTAGAGGTCGTCGAGGCGGCGGAGGCACCGCGCGGCAGAGTGGTCGTCGCGACCACAGAGACAGGGGCTGCCCGGCCCGGTGAGGCACCAGTGGGTGCAGGGGCCAGCATCACGGCGAGGGGGGCGAGGGGCCCAGCTGGAAGAGCTGCTGCTGCGGCCGGTGCTCCCAGGGCCTCCCGGACCCCACTACGGCGGGGGACCCCAGTGCTGTTGCGGACCCCACTGCAGCGGGGGCCCCCACTGCTGGAAATGCTGCGGTGCCTGCTGCTGCTGCTGTCCCAGCTGCTGCTGCTGTCCCTGCTGTGGCCGGTGCTGCTGTGGCTGCTGCTGCTGGGGGGCAACGCCCCCACCGGTCGGGCCACCACCTGTGGGTGGGCCTGTCTGTCCTGCGCCTCCTCCAAGGCCCCCTCCCCCTGGTGCACCACCGCCGCCGCCGCCGCCGCCTCCGCCACCACCGCCGCTCCCACCTCCACCGCCACCTCCACCGCCGCCTCCACCGCCCCCACCTCCCCCCTTCCCGCCCTTCTTGCCACTCTTGCCCCGTTTCTGCCAGTCTGCGGCAGAAACGGCAGCGGTGTCCTCAGAGACCGACACAGCAGCAGAAGCGCGGGTAGAGGTGAAAATGGGAAGCTGAGGGGCGGCACACCCCGCAAAGAGACAGGGGGCCACCGCATCAGTGGCGGAGGCAACGGTGAGGAGGCTGCTCTCGATGGTCCCGAGAGCAGTCTGAAGGAGGTCTATAGTGAGCTCAGTGGGGTGCTTCTGAAGAAGCGCGTCGCGGGCAGTGGCAAGGCGGTCAGGGAGGCGGGTGACTAACCAGTGCACAGTGAGCCACATGGGGGGGGGAGCAACAAGGAGCTGTGCGTCGGTACAAGCAGCACGGAAACCGGCGTCAAGCGAGCGGAGGTGAGTCACTAGGTCGGAAACAGTCGCAAACGAGCCGAGGTCGGGAAACACAAACGGCATGAGGAGGCGACTGAGGGAGGCAGAGGAGGGGGTGGAGTAGCGGGCAACAATAGCATCCCACACCCCCTGGGCTGTCTCCACCTGGACAAAGTGGGCGGCCTCAGTCGGGGGGAGACGCTCCGACAGTGTGAGAGCGGCGGCAGCGTCACGCGAGAGCCACACGTACCTGGCCAGGACCCGACGGTCGTACTCCTCCTGGGCCGTAGGGGTCGGCTCCGGGGTGGTCGGCAGGGCGGCGGGGGACGGGGGGGCCTGTAGGGCACCAGACGCGTGAGCCCACAGAGTGGCGCCGTCCTGTCGCTGGCTGGTGAGGAAGCGTGTGGTCTGGCGCTGCCAGGTACCGAACTCGATTGGGCGTCCCTCCGCATCGAAACGGGGGCGACGGGCCTCCATAGCGGAGCCCATGCTAGAGGCGGCTGGAGCACGGCGGAGGCGGAGCTAAGAACGAGGAGGAAAACTACGGAGCGCCAGGAGAGAAAGCGGCGGAGCGAGCGACTAGGAGTACCGAGCGACCTAGACTAGGCGTGAAATCGTGGATCGCCGGCTACAGGTTCTAGGAGCGAGGTATGAGCGGCTAAAACGGCTCTAACCTAGGTGACCGGCGAGAGAGAGCGGCTGCCAGCCGCTGAGGGATAGACAAGTGTCAGCAGAGCTGGGGAGGGCCCCGCGCACAAGGCGGTGGTGGGGCTAAGGTGATGAACAGTGAGAGAGGGGCGGGGAGGCCGAATGCGACGGTGAAAATGGGCGGGAGGAGGATCTGACGGTGGGAAATGGGCGGGGAGGGGAGGTTGACGCGACGGGCAAGGGAGGGCGACGGGATTGGGAGGGGAGGGCGACGCGACGGGCAGGGGGAAGGGAGGCGACGCGACGGGCAGGGGAAGGGGAGGCGAACGCGACGGGCAGGAGGAGGGGAGGCGACGCGACGGGCAGGAGGAGGGGAGGCGACGCGACGGGCAGGGGGAAGGGAGGCGACGCGACGGGCAGGAGGAGGGGAGGCGAACGCGACGGGCAGGAGGAGGGGAGGCGACGCGACGGGGAGGGGAAGGGGAGGGGTGGCGACGCGACGGGGAGGGGGAGGGCGCGACGGGCAGGGGGAGGGCGCGACGGGCAGGGGGAGGGCGCGACGGTCAGGGGGGAGGGCGCGACAGGCAGGGGGAGGGCGCGACAGTGGGAGGGGCCGGGCTAGGCGCGCGGTGAGGGCGTGGAGGGCGCGGAGGGTACTAACGTGCGGAGGGCGCGGAGGGCACGAACGTGCGGAGGGCGCGGAGGGCACGGAGGGTACTAACGTGCGGAGGGCGCGGAGGGCACGAACGTGCGGAGGGCGCGGAGGGCACGGAGGGCGCAAAGGGCACTAACGTGCGGAGGGCGCGGAGGGGACGAACGTGCGGAGGGAGCGGAGGGCACGGAGGGCGCGGAGGGCGCTAAGGCGCGGAGGGCGCTAAGACTAGGCTAGGGCTAGGCTAGGGCTAAGGAACTCGAACCTACAATGATACCATCTCAAGAGTAGAATGCAACGGAATCATGAAACTAGCAAGTGTGGAAGTACAAATATGCAACCCTAACAACTGTACTCCCTATTGTGCTACTCACTGTAGCCTACAAGCATAGAATTACATTTGAAAGGCAGCCCCTTGTGCGTGTGGTTGATGCAGCAGCAGCAGAAGCAGCAGCAGCAGCAGCTTGCGGAGGAGATGTGATTCGACGAGTAGGATTTGTACTCGGAAACTTGGTTGGGATGAACTATTGGCTTATGCTCACAAGCTCTAGCTGGTAGAGAATGGCTTGAGAAATATCAAACACACTTGCACAAAAACGCGACGGATCATAATGGGACGTACCGTACCCCTACTGTTGATGATGACGATGAAATTGACATGTTTCCTGACTTTTAGAAGTTGTAAAACTTTGCAAGAACCAACAAATGTAGAAACATTGATATAGTCATTCATCATGCTACTGTAATCTCACTCTGACAATGTCATCCATAAACCAGGACAGTTGTGTTGCTTACACTCTATGACCCAAAATTTTCCCCTTTTCTGATCGCAACAAACCAAGGCAGAGTTGTACCCCTCTAAGGCTTCTGGTCCCCAACCCCCACCCCTGCGGCGGCTTCAGCAGCAGCAGCCATGGCAGCGGCGGGCTTGGTGTTGAAGTAGTAGGAGGCATGGTGCGCGTGGCCAAACTGCACCAGCATCTGCAGCTCCTCCTCCGATGGGATGTGCACGTCCCGGTACTCCTCTGTGCGTGGGGGACAGCAGCAGCACAGCGCCAGGGAAAATCAGAGAGGGGCGCAAGGGAAAAGGGGGATGGGAGGGTGGGGAGGTGGAGCATCTGCACCTCCTCCTGCGACGGGATGTGCACGTCCCGGTACTCCTCTGTTGGGGTCACAGGAACACAGGGCAGGGAGAATCAGAGAGGGGCGCAAGGGCAATGGGGGTGGTGGTGGGGGGGGAGCATCTGCAGCTCCTCCGATGGGATGTGCACGTCTCCGTACTCCTCTGGTGGTGGGAAACAGCAGCAACAGCAACACAGGGCCACGGAGAATCAGAGGGGGGCGTGGGGGAGAAAGGGTTGGTGGTGGTGGTGGGGGTAGGGGGGGAAGGGAGGGAGCGGAGTATTCTGGAGCTCCTCTGACGGGATGTGCACGTCACAGCACTCCTCTGCTGGGCACGGAGGAACACAGGGCAGGGAGAAAAAGAGGGGAGTGCGAGGGAAAAGGGGGTGGTGGTATTGGTGGTGGTGGGGGTGTCGTGGGGAGAGGAATAGGGGGAGGGTCTGGAGCTCCTCTGACGAGATCTGCATGCCACGAGACCCCTCTCAACCCACGCCTATGAATTCCAAGCCAGGACCCATAATATCCACTGCAGCTCCTTGCCTGATGGAATGATGCACACCAGATGGTGGTGGTGTGGTGAGGAGGGTAATCAAGGCGAGGGAGGGCGATGAGAAGCATGTGGATATGTTGTGATACGTGGCACACATACTCGTTCACACACACACACACACGCACACACGCGAGCACGCGCGCGCGCACGCACGCACGCACACACACACACACACACACACACACACACACACACACACACACACACACACACACACACAAGCCCACTCACACCCACCAACACCAAGTCATACCCAGTCACACCTATTCGCGACACTCACACGCACCTGGTATCTGTCTGGGAGCGCGGATGCGGATGGGGTCGAACTGATGCGATGCCAAGTCGGGGCGGTACGACTTCACCCAGTCTGCAGCGATACAGGGGCATGGCGACAGCAGGGGCGGGGCAGGAGGTGTAAGGAGTGGTTCAAGTGGAGCAAGGGGGATGGGGAAAGTAAGTCTGGGTAAGGTGGAACAATGATACGGCACAGGACAATGATGGGGGCATGGAGGAGCAGAGTGAAATCAACGTTTTAAAGGGGTGGTGAACGCGGAGGGCGAGGAGGAGGAGCAACGGGCGGAGCAAGGAGGGCGGAGAGCAGGGGGGAGCAAGGAGGGTGAAGAGCAGGGGGGGGCACGGAGGACGGAGAGCAGGGGGGAGAAAGGAGGGCGGAGAGCAGGGGGGAGCACGGAGGGCGGAGAGCAGGGGGGAGCACGGAGGGCGGAGAGCAGGGGGAGCAAGGAGGGCGGAGAGCAGGGGGGAGCAAGGAGGGCGGAGAGCAGGAGCGCGGAGGGTGGAGAGCAGGGGGGAGCACGGAGGGTGGAGAGCAGGGGGGAGCACGGAGGGCGGGAGAGCAGGGGGGAGCATGGAGGGCGGGAGAGCATTACAACAAGCAACGGAGGTCAATGCGAGGCCTATTGGTCCCACTGATGTGCTCATGACTTACTCGCCTGGATTTCGCTTTCACTAATGCACGCAAACGCCTCGGACTGGAGAGAACAGTCGACATGCGAATACGGGAACTTCACCTGGGGCTTCGCGCTCTTCTCCCTTCGCCTATTTCCAAGGCATAGGAACGAAGCGAGATAGCGGCCGTCGGGACGAAGGAAACACGTCACACGGGGGGAAGAAACGACTGGAAGCGTCGGTAAACAGGAGCGGGGTGAAGGGTCAACAGGAGGTGCAAGGACCCACCGTTAAAGTTCGGCCGGCCGCCGTGACGTGGGAGGGAATTCACTCCGTTAGGGAGAAGCAGAAGAACGCAGAAAAGAGAGTTTAAGACCATAGTAAGGAGGAGGGCAAATGTAGTAACTCGAACATTTCGGAAGTCTCGTAATAGCCTCATGGCGACCGTTTGAGATAAGGACGGAGAAGTGCGTCAGTGCAGACCTTTACGACCTTTCCGTTTCCGCGAGGAGTGCGTGAACAAAAGCGCACTGCGGCTAAACTGTGAGTAATTCTGGACTAGAAGCACCTAGCGAATAGCTCTGACTGCACAACAACAATAGGGACAGTTTGTTTCTCAAGCATGCAACTAACTCACCAGAAGGCTGGTGCGACTTCTAACGAACATGAATTGCTCGCGAAAAACGAAATGCTGTAGTGATTCTGACGAAGATCGCCACGGGCAATCTAAGTTTCGACTGCATTGGTTACCGACCCGCCTGGGTTCCAAATATCTACAATGCTCCAGCCCTAGTCTCCGATAACAACTTGGTGTACAATGATATACGGTACCTACCAATAGATACACTGTGAAACATCCACCATCTGAAACATTTTACACACTATAGGAGAGCAACTCTTCATACCATACAACAATGCCGCCTTTGATAACCGAAGCCACTTGTGACACTTGGTAACTGCACAATGCGACTCTACTCACATCCTAATGTCACTCTAAGCTCTCAGTTCATCGTTGCTGTATGCGAGCTTCAGCTGCTGCCCCACACGTACATGCACTCATCCTCAATACTGCTTCAGAATGAGGACTTGCTTCAGTCAGTGCGCGCGTTGCTCAATGTAGGACCCCGACAGCCCCGATGTGCCCAGCAGACTAATCTGCAGCATGTGAAAATGAGCGGGTTGGCGAAGGGGAGAGGAGGGGAGGGGAGGGGAGGGGAGGGGAGGGGAGGGGAGGGGAGGGGAGGGGAGGTGAGGAGATGGGAGGCGTGGGGAGGGGAGGACAGGAGAGAGGAAGAAAGTGCACTATAGAGAAGGTGCGGGTAAGAAGAAACAAGCGGCCCTGATGTGCTCAGCAGACTCGTCTGCAGCATGTAGAAATGGAGGAAGCTAGGGAGGTAGAGAGGGGGAAGGAGAGGTGACCCACCGCACTACTCCCCCCTAGTGCCCATCTACCCCATCTTCTCCGCCTCCTCTCCTTTCCCCTGATCTTGTCCCCACCTAAGGATACGGCACTAACCTCCTCCTTCTCTCCCCTACTCCCCTCGTCCCCAACCCCCTCCCCAAGGCCACAGCACTGAACTGGTTCCACTCACCTCTCACCCGCCCCCATCCTCTCACCCGCCCCCACCCTCACTCGCCCCCCACCCTCACCCGCCCCCCACACGGACCTGGTTCCACTCCTCCTCGAGCCCGCTGCAGCGCTGCTTGACGGTGATGAGCACGCCGCCCAGCTCCTCCTTCACCTTGCGCTGCAGCCACCCCTCCTCCGCGCCAAACGCCTCCAGATACGCGGAGTAGCGCCTCAAAGCAGAGGAGAGAGCAGCCTTTATGTCCTCGGGGATCTTCCCCACCGCCTGCACGCCGTTGGGGGGTTGGGTGAGAGAAGAAGGGGGGTTGGGCAGGGTGAGAGAAGAAGGGAGGGTTGGGCAGGGTGAGAGAAGAAGGGGGGTTGGGCAGGGTGAGAGAAGAAGGGGGGTTGGGCAGGGTGAGAGAAGAAGGGGGGTTGGGCAGGGTGAGAGAAGAAGGGGGGTTGGGCAGGGTGAGAGAAGAAGGGGGGTTGGGCAGGGTGAGAGAAGAAGGGGGGTTGGGCAGGGTGAGAGAAGAAGGGGGGTTGGGCAGGGTGAGAGAAGAAGGGGGGGTTGGGGCATGGTGAGAGAAGAGGGGGGTTGGGAAGGGGGAGAGAGGGGGGGGGTTGGGCAGGGTGAGAGAGGAGGGGGGTTGGGAAGGGGGGAAAGGGTGGGCATTGGAGAGAAAAGGTGCGTTGAGATCAGAACCCTTCATCCTCCTGGGTCAGCGCGTCCAGATAGGCCAAATAGGGGCGCCTCATTGTCCTTGGGGGCTCGAGTGACAGGCCAGGGGAGCACTGTGACCTCGAGCACATCCTCGTTATAGGCAGACGCTCACCTCGCCACCGAACTTGCCCCCACTGAGTTCATCGAGCTCCAGGCGCAGCAGCTCCAGCTTCTCCCCAAACACCTCCACCGCCTGCGCTGCTGCCTTGAGCGCTGACAGCGCCTCCTTCGCTACCGCGTCACTGATGGCACACAGCATTGGGGGGGGGGGGGGGGGGGGGGGGGGGCGAGAAATGGAATAAAAAAACACACAAAATAAAGAAACCCAAGCTCCCCCCAAACGAGACCTAAATTACTGGAAAGAAGCAGCAGCAGGGTCACTGCTTCCATGCGAGATAGCGGGGGGAGAGGGAGGGAAATAAGGTGGGATTGGTAACACCAAACACAGCTTCTTCAAACACGTGCGCCGCGTGGGCTGCTGCTGTCATGTCAGTCAGCGATGGCAACGCCTTCTTGCGCCATGTCATGCATCGCTGACACAGCTGGCATCACTGCTGGGATGAAGATGAAATAGAGCGAAACTTGTTTGAGGTGCCCCAAAGATGATTGGTCGGCACTAGATGCCCATTATGGCATGGGGAAGAGGAAGGACAGAAGATGGGGTGAAAAGGTGGGGAGGAATGGAGAGGGCGGGGGCACGACTTCCTGCATGGATGTTGGATATTGGTTGCTTGTTGCAAGTTGCATGATGCATGCGGATGTTGGATGTTGGATGTTACATGTCGTGCATGTTGGATGTTGGACGTTGGATGTTACATGTTGCACGCTGCCTAGATCCTATATGTCGGACCTTGGATGCTCATGACACCTTCGTTACAGTGACCTTCTAGCTGGAGGTTAAGAGCCTGGAAGGCTGGGAGGCTCAACACACCTCCTTCAGAGCTCGAAATGACGTCAGCCTGACACTATACTACTGACAACCGCTGAACTCTTTTTCTCTCCGCGAAGAAGGGGCCAACCCAGGGGAGTCACACGGAGCCAAACTCACTGCCAGAGTGCTGTCAGTGCTGTCAGTGCTGTCGTCTCACTCGGTGCTTTTGATGCTCTTGTCGATCTTGGCGATCAAGGAGGCGTCGCACGGCACCCAGCCCGTCGCCAGAGCCTCCTTGAGCGTGCTCAGCGCGCTCGGATCGCTGACACGTGGTAGCTTCACGAGATCCTCCGTGGCAGTGATGGCGAAGCCTCGCCGCTGGAAGGATGCCGCTGGTTCGTGGAAGAGGAGAGGACGGTAGGAACGGGAGTGAAGGGGAGGGAAGAAGCAGAGGGGAGAGGCAGGGGAGCGAAGGGAGGGAAGGGAGGGGAGGAGAGGAGAGGGGGAGAGGAGGAAAAGGCTCGACTCAAAAGCCGATCACTCAGATGCATTCGCCCGAGTTCGACACGTTTAAAGTAAGAAGAAAGATCGTCCAACCATGAAAACACACTAGCGCTGTCGATCTAAGCACGTCCCGTTACAAGTGTGTCACTAGTGATACCTGACACGTGCGATCCGAATGGAACACGCGCGGAAACGGATGCGGACGGCAGCGCGGGAGAGGCGGAAGCGGAGGGCGACGACGTGGCGTATTGCGCGGAAGGATGCGCGTGCATCAGCGCGGATGCTGCTTGGCGGACGGCCGGAACGCGCGCGGAGGAGCCGCGGAGAATGTCGGCGGAACGGCGAAGAAATTGTCTGGAGGCCATGTTGTGGGTGCGGGTGCGGGAGGGAGTGAGTGCGTAAAGTCGGTTTGCTGCGACGCCCAACGCAAGTGGCGGTTGGGAACGATGGTCTCGTTGGTGGCGACTCGATGTTTTGCAAGGTGAGTCGAGTGGGGTGAAAGCAAGACAGGCGCGAACGGAATGGAATTGGAGGGCGGGTGAGGCGTGATGTTCGTCCTAGCACGTGGAGTGGCGGAGAAAGAAATGCGCGGAGGCGAAAGAGGGGGAGCAGAAAGCCACACGCGCGGAGCTTTCGTGGTGCGGTCTGTGCTGGAATTGAGGAGGCCGAATGGAGTATGGCGATTGGTTGGGATGTTGGAGATGCTGTAAGAAGTATCTCGCTCTAAGACATACACTTTTCCTTACCTCCCATCAATCCTGCATACCATACATCTCCACCTCAAGACATTTTGCTTGACTCCCCCAACCAACAAACGCCAAGCTCCTCACCAAGCTCCCCACCGTGGCTCCAATAGTAACTTCACACCCATAAATGTCAAGAAAATCCGTATCAGTTGCAAGGTCTGTCTACATACAATGCGCATTGTTAGAGTAAGGATCTTGGATAGGATAGGATAGTGCTTTGGTAGAGTTGGTAGCGGAAGTCTTGTGAGAACTCAGATCATAGTGAATGTAAATGACCAAGTTGATTAAAATATAGAATACAAGGAATATAAATAGTCCTAGTCTAGCCATGTACTCTAAGGGGTACATTCCCTTATTATAACTGTTTTACAGGCAATTCTACAGTGACTCTGACTGTTGTGCTGCCTTTCTTGTTACCGAGTCGCTGCATGTAACCTGTACGGTTACGCCTGTTGACATTCCTCGATGGTAAGTCAAGCGTCGGTCCAGATGGTCAACAGTCGCGACAGTTGACTCTTGCGACTGTTGACCTTCCTGCCCTTGATACGGGCTGATTCGATATCTCGGTAGTTGCTGCTTCGATAAAGTCGGGTGCGATACTGCTGCACCTACGGGAATGCTAAGTATAATTCCCTCCATACTCCAACACTCCCCTTCATTCCTGGAGGTGCGCCACGTGGCTCTTGCGAGTGACTCCGCACAGATCCGAGCAGTACTGGAACTTCTGACGTGGCAGTTTCTTCGTGAGGAAATCAGCTGCCATTTCGCCAGTTGGACAGTAGATGAGCTGGACCTTCCCTTTGTCGATTTCGTCTTTCACGAAGAAGTAACGAAGGGCGATGTGTTTCGTGCGGTTGACGAAGCCTGGCTTGTTTGCGATTTTGATCGCGCTCTGGTTGTCGCAGAGTAACTTAAAGGACCCGTTCATCGCCGTCTTCGTTTCCTGCAGGAGTTCTGTGAGGTAGAGTCCTTCGCGAACTGCTGCGCTTGCTGCGATGAATTCTGCTTCTGCTGACGAGAGGGCGAT